TTTCCTAGGGAGGTGGTGGAATCTCCTTCCTTAGAGGTTTTTAAGGCCCGGCTTGACAAAGCCCTGGCTGGGATGATTTAGTTGGGGATTAGGTCCTGCTTTGAGCAGGGGGTTGACTAGATGACCCTCTGAGGTCCCTTCCAACCGTGATAGTCTCTGATTCACACGTCAGCCGGAAGTGAGTCATGCCAGAAGTGCAGACAGGAACCAACCAAGTCTGTGCCCCCCCAGTAACCATCTGCCACCCACTGGTCACGACTGCGGGCCTGGGAACACCGCGCTCCCCTGCCCCTGATCTCTGACGGGGTCCCTGGGGCTAGGCAGGCCTGGTGTCGGGGCACGTTGGCTCCCGGGTGTCCTAAGGTCCCCACCTAGACAGTTGCTTTCGGTGGTTTCCTGTTTACATCCGGCAGCCACTGGGGATTCACAGCAGCAGAGAACTGAGAAATGGCTCCAGGTGCCGGGGACAGCCCGCGGCTCCCAGCACTGTCTCCCTGCACCGTGCAGATGGGCCCGGTAATTCCAGTGTGGGCTCCTGGCGTGACACATAGTCATTTGGTCCCCTGGAGTTCCTCAGAAACCGACCGACGGCTCAGAGCCGAGAGTGACGGTTATTTTGCTTCAGGTCACACAATGAGTGGGCGGAGGAGCTGGGGGCTAGAAGCCTCCCTACCTCCCCTCCACTTAAGCACATGAACCTATTCCCCTCCCTGTGCTCAGAATAAAACCCAGGAGTCCTGGCTTCCCCTTGCTCTAACCCACTAGATCCCCCACTCCCCTCCCCAATGCAGGGATGGGGGCAAGTGGGAATCAAGACATCTTCTGGCATTGTGGAGGGTCACATATTTCACCCCGTCTCCCTAAAAACGAAGCCTAGTGGCCAGGGGATGGGATGGCCCTTTAAGGGAGATGGGCTTAGCGCTACCTTTGACTAGTTGCCTCCTGGGCCTTAGATACAAGGTCAACCAACACCTCACCTGGGAGAGCCACCAGCTTGGGACTGGGACCAGCACATCTCTGTCCTCAGGGCGACCCCCCTGCCACCTCGCACGTCCCGGCTCCAACCCATGGGGGCGTTAGAGCTGCGCAAAGAAAGGGGGGCCAGAAGTTTCCACCTGGGGCAAGTGACACGTCATTCTCCCGCGCCTCGGTCTCAGGGACGCTCAGACATCTGGGTGCAATCCCCCCCCCCGCCTCTCCCCCCAAAAAACCCACTGAGTCTGCAGCAAACGCCCAGCGTGAGACGTTCCAGGCCAAACCATCTAACATCTGGGAAAGGCCAAGGACCTGCAAACGGGGGGCTTCCAATGGGAAAAGGTGGGCACCCTTCACGCCAGGCCGTGCTCCCAGCTCCACCTGTAAGGAAGACCCTCCATGGGCACAGCGGGGTCTGTCTAACTGCGGCTCCTGACTAGCCAGGCCTTGCTACCCAGCCACCTGGCTACTCGGGGAAAACCTGGAACACACCAACTATTTAAAGGGTTACCACGATTTCAGGACACTACACGGTACCCTGAGTGATGGGAGCCGGCGTTCGGGTTGGGGAAAGCAGAGCTCTGGAGACAGCAAAGTTAGGCTCTGTCTAGGGACAGCAGGGGGGCCTGGGGACAAAGCCACAGATTGATTTCTTTGGAGACAGGCACCCCCCTCGGCTGACAGCCTGGGGACTGAACCGGGGCCCTCCTGAGCTAAAAGCGGGACCCGGTATAGCTTGGGCTAAAGAGCCAACCCGCCCCTGGGAGGGCTGTAACTGACTCATTGGGCAGCCCTGGGGTCTGTTCCCAGCCTGCCACAGGCAAGACCCGGCCCCTCACTCTGCCTCAGTTTCCGCAGCCATAAAATGGGAATATCACCGCCCTCCTTTGAAAAGCACTAGGGATTGTTATTATTTGAGAGCCCGGGTAGCCTGCCCTCCATGGTCCCAAATTCTACCTCTTCTCTGGCTGGAACACGGAGAGATCCGAACAGGGAAGAAATCGACACCTGTGGGCTAGTCCCAGCCAGGCTTCCCAAAGCAGCCACCGGCCCCGGCTTCACAGGCACAACCCTGGGCTCCAAGCACTTCCAACCAGACCTCCATTCGCCTCAGCACCGACGACTCCTGCAGGGGCATGTCCCGGAGCCCCAGTCGCCCTGGGAGAAGTGGGGACTGGCTACCCACTGAGACTGGCTCTACACACAGATTTTCCCCTGGCTCAAGTGCCTGTCAGGGGTGTGAACGGGAGACCCTTGGCGGACACACGGCTGCGCCCATTCTTCCACATGGATGCCTTAATAGCACTTTAAACCTAGTATCTATCAACTGAGCTGGTGCCGGTCAATTTACAGGTGCAAGCCAACTTCCAAGTGATATAACAAGCATCCACGCTAGAGAGCAGCTCAGATCTGTTTTTAGGCCACAGGCGAATTCTACCCAAGTCCGCCCGGAGCAGGGCATTGAGCTGCCACCACGCCAGCCCCCCGGGCGGGAGCAGAGCTGACCCAACCCGCGAGGATCCAGTTGTTTTCCCGCCTGACCCGCGTTGTCGGGCTCCAATGCCCACCCCAAACAGGCACTGCTTTTAAAAGAAACAACCCCCCCGACTCGGATCGAGGCCTTTCCTTCTGGAGCGCTCAGAGCACTTTATCAAGCAGGGACCATGTCTTTATCCCCATTGTACCGCTGGGGAAATGGAGGCACAGAGCAGGGAAGGGGCTTGCCCACAGCCAGCGGGAGAGGCAGG